TATCGCCAACACACAGTAAATATGTCATTTGTTTCGTTTCCTCCTGACCAGTCCGTAATTGAACTGCAGCCAGGGGACAGAACTCCGACTAATCGGTTGTCTACTGTTGTCTACCGGCCGTAGTTGAAAGGATAGCCGACTTTTTGGTTCCTTGCCTCTCAGGCAGATGAATAATGCACTCAGGTGAGTGACTCCACAACAACTTCAAAAGATGTCCCCAGCTAGTCGACTCCTACGACATGCTCTGCACCAGTCTCTTTTTCTTCTTCTTCTTGGCGTTCACTGGCTAAAAACTTTTGCTGGTTGTTCGTCCCCCTCTTGACTTTAGTCTTGTTCCAGAACACGAGTGTTGCATGCACATCCTTTTTACAGATCTGACTTATTTGTAATGCAGGCTGTTGGTTCGTTGCCTATCAGGCAGATGCACTCCGACTTTGAAGGAAACCCCCAGCTAGTTGACTCTTACAACATGCTTGTTGGGGAGGCAGTGAGTCTATTCTTATTTAAATACAGTGACTTAGCAGCTGGTCTGAGGAGAGACGAAGCGTACACAGTAAGAATCTTTGCCGTCAAAGTAGGCGCAAGAGGTCTCTACAATGTGATTAAACAACTAGGCTTACGAGGTAATGAACGCAAATGGACACTTAAACAACTGGGCGAGGTTGCTGAGAGGGCCTCGAGCTGGATCTGGACACAACAGAACATCGTGGGGGACGGGCCTCGGTGTGTGGGTGTCTAGTGGAAAAGAGTTTCTTATCCCTTAAAGTCCATTGTGTCCGAATTGTCTGCCAGTGTCCCTCTGCCACCTGCCAACAAAGGTCCAACATGTGTCTGGTAAACCAAACGTAAGCTTGCCACTCGGTCGCCCAGATATGCAGACTGCTTTAATTATGCTACCGCAACAACTTCTTATCTCACAGTATCTTTTGCAAAGTCACCAATTCGTCTTGTCCCTGTCGGAATAACATCCAGTAATACATGCAGCCGGGGAAACCAACCCTGAGCCTCATGAACTCAGGTGGGCCCACTCTGAAAATGTCTAGGAGCTCGTGGGCTGAAACATTTGTCGACGAGAGATTACTTCTACTGATGATTGGTAGACTCCTGCTGTACATGGCCCCTTGTGGAGTTTCTTCTTCTTATTTTCCTCACAATGGGGTCCCAAAACCCACACGGGGAACCAGCCTCTTGAATAATAAAGTGAAAGAAAGATAGTATTTAGTGTGTGTTTGTGTGTGTGTTGTTATATATAAATATATATTTAATATGGGTGCAGTTTTCTGGGGTTTTTTTAATCCCTGCCCCTATTTGTTAGGGGCCCTAATATAAGTTAGAGGTTGAACAAGATTTCTGGAGATGAGATTTTAGAAGAAAAAACCAGATTATTATGGCCTAGGGAGAATGGTGCACCTGGGTGTAAGTGTAACCAGAGGGTCTGGCTGGCTCACTACACTCAGAGGGTCTGGCTGGCTCACTACACTCAGAGGAAAGGCAAGACAGACATATATCCAGATAACAACCTGTACCAATAGTATTAGAACTCATGCTAGCTGCTAAAGATAAGGAATGGAGCATGCATTGGAATGCTTTGAGCGCTGTAATGTCAATATTTGACTGAACTCATGAGATTTCTGGGACTTGTGTGTTCCTAACAGAGGATTGTGGATGTTTGGCTTCGTGGATCACTGTTCAGCTTACATTTGACAGTACATGACATTTTGAAGGATATGTTCATCTGTCTTTTCTGCCATTCCCTATGTCAGGGCTAATAAATTGGCAGCCAGCAGGCAAGGTTTGGCCTGTAGATCATAGTCAGTTGTACTGTACTAATGATCTTTTTATGCTAGGGCTCAAGCATCTGGTCTGTGTTGATCCCAGTTTCAAGGTCATCATCATCATACTGTAGCACTGTATGTCGTTGGGTCAGTTACAGTGGACTTCACAGTTGCAACAGCATAGTACATCTCGAGCAGTATTTCAACCCTGGCGGGGCCCACTCCTCCAGGTGGCTATTTCCTCGTTGACCTGTATACTCACTGGTACAGTTTCCAGTTTGCACTACGGGGCGGATGGCTTGGCTTGTGCGATCAGGGAACAGATGCAGGCTACTAATTTTCGTTTTTTACCCTCCTAGGAGAGCTAGCTTCCCCCAACACTGCTGGCTACAGTGCCAAGCGTGAACACACCTTGCAGACCTTGCAAAATATAGAGAAGGTCAGATTTAAAAAAAAAGTTATCCTTGATGCAGATATGAACCTAAGACATTTGGCCTGGCAGGCGTGTGTCTGGCAGTTATGCTTCTGCTGCTCTTATTGTAAATACTAATTGATTATCGTCTTCTTCTTGTTGTTCACCGGCTGTAAGCCCCAGTGGAAAATTCTTGTTGTTCGTCCACTTTTGAACTGTAGTCCTATTCCAGTACTTCAGTTTTCTGTGCACATCAGTTTTACAGATCTGGCTTATTTGTGTGCAGACAGTGAGTTCTTTGTGAGCACTTTTACTTGAAAAAAAGAAACACCTCCAAATAGTCAGCTTGTATGACATGCTTGTTAGGAAGGCAGTGAGTCTATCCCTCCCCCCCCCCCCCCCAGACCCACAATGGGACCCTAGAACCCACACAGGAAACCGATTGATTGTTATGTTTAGAGTGCCACAGTGTAATGGTACCTAGTTCCCCGTGTGGGTTCTGGGGCCCTGTTATAGGGAAAACAAGAATAGACCCTCTGCCTACCCAAAAGCTTGTCGTAAGAGTCGACTAATAGGGAGCTTCCTTCAAAGGCTTCCTGAGAGGAAAGGAACCAACAGTCTGCATACAAATTAGTCAGACCTGTGAAACAGATGCACACCCACCACTGGAGTTCTGGAACAGGACTGCAGTCCAAATGTTGACGAACAACCAGAACTTTCCGCCAGAGTTTACAGCTGGTGAACGCGAAGAAGAAAAAGAATGGTATGTAGTGTTTTGTGTACCCTCTTTTTGCTGGAGATTGCTGCATGTTTTAGCTGTGGCTTCTTTATTTTTGTCACTGTTGATAGCTTACATAGCAAATATCGCACCATTAGGAATTAAAACCTGTGGGAAATAAGTCATTAATAAAGAAAATAGAGGCTTTACATAGAGGTGCTATATAAAGATTCTCAGAATGCCATGGAAGAGAAGAAATACTGACATTTTATAAGATCGAAACATCAAGGAAAATTGGCTAATAAACAACATCTTGCTTCAGAAAGATAAAATAGTTTTGTAATCTCAAGTGCCATGGGGTAATAGCAGAAGGCTTGGTACCACAATGGAGGGGCAGGAGCTGACCAACATAAAGATGGGCACATGATATAAGTGACTCCTTGAATATGAAAGTACACAAGACGGGAGAGCTGGCGAGAGACACCGTTTATTTCAGGCAGATCGTGATGAGAGCGATGTTCTGAAGTGAACCTGCTTCATGCTGATGTTTGGGCAATAAGTTGTGTTATTCGTCATTCTACTATTCATGTTCTTCATGTCTTCTCCTCTTCTTGCTGCTGTTTTGTCCCCAGTGGAGCATATGTATATTTTGTTTGATGAATTTACTTGCCACAGTTGGAACACCTTTCTTATTACCGGCTGAACGTGTTGTTACCATTGGATTACCTTTGTTGTTATTCGCTAAATCTATTAATACAGTTTGTTTAGCTTTATAAGCATCCGCTTTCTGCAGTTGATCTACCTTTATTGTTATTTATTTTTTATTTAATCTTCTGGCTCCATTAAGATTATCTTTATTACATTCTGCTTGATCACAAGATGTAAACTCCGGCAGAAAGTTCTGGTTTTTTCGTCTACTTTTGGACATTAGTCTTGTTCTACAACTTGATATTTGCGTGCACATCCCTTTACAGATCTGGCTTAGTTGTATGTGGACTGCTCAGCTTACAGGCAAAATGCACTCCAACTTCGAAGGAAACATCCCTAATTAGTCAATTTCTATGACATGCTTGTTAGAGGGGCAGTGGGTCCATCTCCCTGCCCCCCCCCCCCTCCCCCACAAGCTGAACCCACACAGACATATTACCTTCTGACTTTGTACACATTTTGTGCATGTTATTTACCATTCCTTATGTCGCTGTTGCCTATGGCTTAAATTAAAAAAAAAAATTCCAGTTTGCAGCAGTACACGGTACTGTCACCTTTTTTTTTAAGGCATCAGTTTTTCTTTCTCAGTATTGCTGTAATAGACGCTTTGCAATTACTAGTTAGCACCACTTTTTAGACAGTATGGTGAGTTCCAAAAACTTTTTTTAAGATTGAAGAATAAAAGCTCTGTTGCCTTTTGTTTGTTTGAGACCAGTTATGTAAAGCAGGGTTATTCAAGTAAGTTTGCTCTAGGGCCACAATTTTGAAAATAGGGATTGTCACTGGTCACAAACCTGAGCCCTAGCATAGAAATATGAAAACAGTTCAACTTTCAGTGATCCGTGGGCCACAGGCTATACCTCCGTGGGCAACAGGCTAAACCTCTGTGGTCCACAGGCTATACCTCCGTGGGCCATAGGTTAAACCTCCGTGGGCAACAGGCTAAACCTCAGTGGGCCACAGGCTATACCTCCGTGGGCCATATTATTCCCTGTAGAAAAGCCCTGATGTAGAGTTTTCATTCAGTATTTCTCTCCATCATCTGCTGCCTACTTTTTTTCTTTTTTTTTTTTTTTTTGTCTTGCATTTCCTGGGTAGTCAATATATGTATGCTTGTTAATAACTATGCTGACATCTCTACAGGTTTTTGAAATGTTTGTTGTACAACAAGATCATTTCAATGAAGAAAAAGCTCCACAGCAATAAGTGTGTCAAACTCCCAGCTAGATTAAAAAAAATATATGTATACATTTTACCATTTATTTTTTAAAAAAAGATACACCGTCTAGCATCTTAATTTCTATATGTGTCTTCAAATACCTGGTATTTATCACAAAATCAATAAGTTGTTCATAGTTTTATTCTGACATTTGCTGGCTCTTTGGAAATGTCACCAGAGATTGTGCTCAGGTTGGAAGCTGTAGCAGAGAGATGTCGATTTTCTACAAACTGAAATGAAACTAAAAGCTGTAAATAGTTGAGCAGTTTTAAATTCTGGCTTTTGTAAACATGTTTTAGTGTTTGTGTACCTGAATATCCATATAATCATCTTGTCGCTGTTGATGCTTGCATTATTAATGATCTTGCCACTGCTGCCGATCTGCTGCTTTTCTGCCCATGGTATCCCATGTAATTTTGCATCTTTGATTTTCCTTTCTTCTCCTTCTTTGTGTTCACCTCTGGACTTTAGTCTTTTTCCAGAATCTCAATTGCATGCACATTCGTTTTACAGATCTAAATTTTTTTTGGTATACAGATTGTTGGTTCCTTGCTTCTCAGGCAGATCCACTCCGATTTTAAAGGAAGCTCACAATTAGTCAGTTCTTACAACATACTTGTGGGGGGGGGGGGGGCAGTGGAGCTATTCTAGTGATCTCCATAATGGGTCCCCGAAACCCACACTCGAAATTTTCTATTCTACTGTCCTTCTCCAATTATCCTTATGTCCACGTCTCCATTGTTTTACTGGAGAGCTGCCAAACTGTCACTTGGCATTCTGCATGCATTTTTGAATGTTTGTGTATACTGTTTAACTAATCACAGACATCAGAAATGGACAGAGATCATTGAAACATTATAGGAAGAGACAAAACTGGAGTAAATGACAAACCAAACAGATTTATAAAAATGTAGACAGGGAAAGAAAATGATAAATCTTGACAGTCTTTTGTCATGGCATGGAAAGGCATCAAGCTGTTAATTCGTTAGTACATGCTGCAGTTCCAAAGATTGGGGAAAGCATTGTTGTCTATGCCAGTTAGCAAAGCATTTTTGATAATTATGATGATGATATATGAGTGGAAGTCATTAAGTAAGTCACAAAAGGTTGTTTAAAAAAAAAATTTAAACAAATTAAAAACCATTTATTTTTACACATGCACTAACCATTTATTTTTCACATAATTTGTTTAAAAAAGAAAAAAAACTTAAGATGAAAACAAATTAAAAACCATTTATTTTTCACATAATTTGTTTAAAAAAGAAAAAAAAACTTAAGATGAAAACAAATTAAAAACCATTTATTTTTCACATAATTTCCACCAACATTGTAGCACTTGTTCCATTGTTTTATCAGTCCTCCCAAACCTGCTGCATAAAACTGCATGCTCTGTTACTTCAAATTTATCCTGCTTTATTCGCGAAAAAATGTATCTCACCAAGGTGGGTTTTCAGTGGACCAAAAAGGTGGAAATCGCTAGGGGTCAAGTTAGGGCTGTAATGGGGATGTTCCAGAAGTTCCCATCATAGATGGTTAATTTTCTCTTCAGTTAACCGAGCCCTATGTCTTTTAGCATTGTCATGGAGCTGTACCCCTCTAGTCAGCAGACCTGGATGTTTTCTTCTAATTTCATCATGAAGCATCGATAGAACTTTAAAGTATAAATCAGCATTCGCATTGTCACTTTTTTTTTATTGGTTAAAAGCACTTCTTAATACTCCCAGAACACTGTCAGCATAACCACCCGCTGCACGGATGCGTCTGTTGCAATCTCAACAGGGCGACTAGATCAGATTTCATCTACAATTTTAGAGTAAGTTTAAAAAAAAAAAAGGGACCCTTTTCCACGACTTTAGGCATATAGGGCTAGACCTATATTTTATAGACCAATGGCACAAGATGGGTAATGTGGTCAGCATCACACCAAAAATTAGTTGCATATCCTTTGCAGGGCGTTGCAGAACCAACCCTAGCACTTTATGGCTTTTGTGGTTTTTCTAGGCAAATTTACAACCAATAGTTTGCCATTGCCATATGGACGGTCAGCTCTCGGTACCACGATTGAAACCATCGCAAGACAAACCGTCCGTAGCAGGGATCGAACCCGGCATTACGAAGCACTTTCGCAACGCCTAAGCCACAGACGCCGACGGTTTTAGAGTGCCCCTGAGAATTTGTTTACCCAGCTATGCACCGCTTTATGGGATAAACATTTGTCATCATAAACAGGAAGCATTTTCTTATGAATGTCCTTTACATGAAGCCCTTCTCCCCTCTCCCCCCTCCCCAAAAAGCTCACAGCAGCGCTTACTTCTTTGAAGGTACACTTCATAAGTACAGTCGCCATTTTGTTTCTATGTTGCAAATGCACATGCAAAATCTAGCGCCACCTAACGAACAGAGACGTAAAGTTCAATGCTGCTGTCACCTAATGTCACCTCTAGAAACCAACTACATTTTCCTACCATCCCATAACCATTTGTGACTTATTGACTTCCGATCGTATTTTAGTTTTACAAGGTATTTTTGATAATTACGATGACATAGTTTTGTTTGTCTATAATCTTGCCTGTTTATATCGCTCACATTTTTTTTTTTTTTAAATTTCTAAAGCTTTTAAACTGAACAGATGTGCAATGAAACAGAATGGAAAGCAAACTGAAATGCGACTGCTCTATATTTTGAAAAGGTAAATTGATACATCTTTGAAATGTCCAACTCATGTCTTAGTCAGATATGACTGAGCTACCATATACCAGCAGTCAGTACTGTGTTTTCTCTGTTAACTCAGGATGTTGGGCGGGTAATAGTAACATTGCTCTTCCCATTTAGACAGTGTTACACACTAGCTCACTTCTGATTGATCGATTTGGAGCCACGTGACTTCATCACAAGGTGACAGGAATGTTTCCCAATGCCATTGATATCGCGTGTTCAATATTTCAGCATGCCAGCGCTTTTAACACTCCAAAAATATCAACAAACTGGGTCTAACACAAAAACCCTTTAGAGAGTGATGAAACCTATGTCACAGGCATTCTTGTCTCAGAAAAAAAACACATAAGTGCAGAACATCCCAAAAAGCAAACAACAGAGCGGCACACCAGTAACGTCCAGCAAGGTAGACCAGTCCAACAAAGTTATAAATGGAATGTGACCTACTTTCTCTGGGGAAACTATTGTTTTACTATCCTGTTGGGCGATGTATACCAGGCTTGACATCTTATTCTATATCAGTGGCTTTGGGCGGAGGAGTGCATTAGAGGAGAATACTAGCCTTATCCTGGGAAAAGGAAATGCATCTTGAAAGCTTAATGTTATGGCAGGACAGATAAGGCTCGTAGCCTTGGTAGGCACCTGGTCTAGGAGGAAAGCTTAGACACGCAGATAGAGCACTGCTCTTCTGATCCTGCAGCAAGCTTTGTCCCAGACATACTGGTGTTACCTTTCCTTTTGAGTAAACAGTGCAGGCTGAGAGAGGGATAATGATATAAGGGTAACACATGGTCTCTACAACATTGCTAAGGCACTGTACTATGGACTTGACTTGACACAGGCGGGTCTTGCTGGTCACACTCAAATTGCCATGGGCTGTCTTCTCAGCGTTCACCGGCTGTAAACTCCAGAGGAAAGTTCTGGTTGTTGATCTACTTCTGGACTGTGCCCTTGTTCCAGAGCTTCAGTTGGGCATGCACATCCATTTTACAGATCTGACTTATTTATGTGCAGATTGTAGGTTCCTGACCTCTCAGACAGATGCACATGACTTGAAAAAAAAACACCCCTGATTCGTTGACTTTTATGACATGCTTGATAGGGACGCAGAATAAACCAAATTTTTTGTTGTTGCTATTCTAGTAGGCACTCGACTCTTCCCAGTAAGGTAAAGTGAGGTTATTTTGCATTTATTTGATCTAACTGCTTTTTGTTTTTATGTATTTTAGTAGTAAGTAGTAAAAAAATTATTTTGCACAACACTATCAGTGTATAATTTGCCACTAACTGGGATTTGTTCTTGCAAATGGATGATTCATTTTCCATTTATTTCCTTTGGGGAATGTGTTTAGTATACGTACTGTTTGTTATATGGCCAAGGGTCAGCAGTGGATTAAGTACGTATACGGAAGTACCACTGTAATTGCTATGGAGCAGTGGGTCTGTCCTTAAACGGATAAAATCCCATGGGGGAGACTTTGAGTTGGGAACTGACATCACAGCACTGAGTACATTCCCCTAAGAGCTCCCTCTCCATCTTCAGTAGCCGGCTCTCATGGTGCCATTAACAGTCTGATGATATGTCTGTCTTTCCTCTGACTGTAGAGTATCTGCCACATTCCCTGGTCACATCTCGCTGTTCCAGACTGTAATGGTGTATTTGTGCCCCCGAAAGGCTTTGAACAGATCTAGCTGGCCATGTATCAGCTTACCACCAGCTGATGCAGAACCAGCCAGTTTGTCTGCCTGTTTGTATTTCCAGCATGCTGCCTGCCCTGGTGGAAATATCCAAAGGACGCTAACTACCCAAGGTCAGAAATAAAGTATCTCATTCCATGTGTGGAGATGTGTTTCACACATGGTGCTTGCCCTATACCTTTTGTGTGTGTGGACCAATCAGCACTTGTATTTGAGGTAATTAGTTTTATGCTAGCCACCTTTATAGTAATTTTAGAAATTCCAGGAAATGTGACTAAAAAACTTTACAAAACGGGGAAGCAGAAAAGTGTGTACAAAACGTTTCGGCCAGTGGCCTTTCTCGAACAAATAATGAACCACACAGCAGTAACAAAAAGGAAGAGTATTCAGGACTCTAAGGGGAGACGTGAGCAATTTTTTAAAACATGTAATGTGGAGTTATTGGAATAAAATAAGATAAACGAAGGCTAAAAAAATAGATGCAAAGAAGGAAAAGCACTATTGTTAATATATAATATAATAGAAGGATAAAAGAGTAATAGAAATACAAATACAAATGGTACTGATAAGAAATAGAATAAAATAAAATAATTAAAGTGAAAATGGGATAATAATAAAATAGTAATAGTAAAACTTTTTGGATAAAGGTATGTTGGACATTGATTCCACCTGGACTAAGAACACCTAAGCTGTGGATAAGACGATTTTCCAAAGCGAGGTGCGTGGTATGATGGCCAGAACAAGATTTTAATGCTGTGACAGATATATCATCTTTACCTCTGTGGTCAGAGCTGTTAAAATGGAGAGGGATTGGGTCTTCTTGTTAGTATCAGAGAGGTATTCCCAGAAAAGATTAGCTAGCTACCTGCCAGTTTCCCCAATGTATGCCTTGTTGCATCATTTGCAGATTGTGGCATAAATTACGTTGCAGGATTTACAAGTAAAAGGTTTCCTAATTTGGAAAACCCATTAGGGAAATTCCTCAGCTTGACTGTAGTCACCCCCAAATTTCACCATTTTTAAAAAGTAATTTAAGACCGTATGATTAACTGTGAATTTATTCTGTTTGTCAGGTGCTGTGCAGTATGTACCATGGATTCAGAAAGGGCAGTCAACCGCCTTATACTGTTTGTGGTTATAGTTGGAACTATGTATTATTGTTACTGTTTATATTGTAAGTATTCTCACTGATGTACGTTGCTTAACTTTCCTGTCTTTTCTTGTCTATCCAGTGGTAAACCTGAGGGCTCTTCTTATTCTTCTTCTTAATGCTCACCACCTCTAAACACATCAGAAAGAGACAATCAACATTCTTTGATCATGTGATGAGAAGGAGGAAAGCTGGAGGGGGGGAGAGGCAGAGGAAGACCGAGAAAACAGATGCAAATAGACCCACTGCCCACTCACCAACAAGCATGTTTTAAAAAGCAGATATATTCAGAGGAAAAGCAAGACGGACATATACCCAGATTGTGACCGGTACCATCAGTATTGGAACTCTGTGCTGGCTGCTGAAGATGACGGAGCCTGCATGAGAATGCCCTGAGTGCTGTGATGTCAATTCTTGACTCAACTCAAAAGCAATTAATTAGGGATGTTTCCTTTAACGTCCGAATGCATCTGCCTGAAAGGCGAGGGACCAATATTTTTTTTTTCATTGCGTTTACTGGCTGTAAAATCTGGCAGCAAGTTCTGGTTGGGGAGGCAGTGAGTCTGTTCTTGTTATCCCCCACACTGGGGAGGCAGTGAGTCTGTTCTTTTTATTCCCACCCTGGGGAGGTAGGGGGGGTCTGTTCTTGTTAACCCCACACTGGGGAGGCAGAGAGTTTGTTCTTGCTATCCCCACACTGGGGCCCTTGGAACCCACTCTGGGATGTCTGTATACAAATGAGCCAGATCTGATGGATGGATATGTGTGCAAACTTCCAAGTTCTGGAACCAGACTAAAGGCCACAAAATGGAGGAACAATCAGAACATAGCGTCAGAGTTTACAGGTAGTGAACATCAAGAAGAAGAAGATTTTGCTCCGTAGTGAATTTTTCTTTGTCCTCAGCCTTTGCCTCCAGGTCTATTGAGTCAAAAATGTTTACTAGGAAAATTCATGGCTGTTGTGATCTTCAGCAGCACACCACCCGTCATGTGCTAAATGGCCTATAAAAATATGGACCAAGTACCATATGCTAAGTGTACCGCTGGGTCCTAATTCTTTTTAACATTTCTGAGTCTTGAACTTCAACCTTTTTTTTTGGTCCACAACTTTCTTTGGGGAGTTCAAAACTTTTACTTTTTTGTGTCACTAATTTTTGCCTTGTGGGGGGGGGTGTCTTAACTTTTACTTTTTGGGGGGGGGGGGGGGGGGATACTTAACTTTTAATTTTTTTGGGGTCCTCAACTTCTTTGGGGGGTGGGGGGTCCTTAACTGTTAGTTGAGGGGGGGGGTGTTTACTTTTATGAGTCCTTAAATTTTACTTTTGTGAGGGTAGGGGGTCCTTAACTTTTCATATTTTTTTTTTTTTTTTTGGTCCTCAACTTTTGCTTTTTTATATTTCTACATCTGCAATGTTTTCTGTTTTCAAGATGCAAGTTTACGATTTGAAGAGAATAACTGGAATTCTCGCCCAGCTAAGGTAAAGATGACCAAATAAAACACTTTATTATTGTCACCTCCTTATGTTTTTTCTTTTGGGGGGGGTGGGGGTGGTTTATTTCTCTTCAAAGTTGAAGTGCATCTGCCTGAAAGGAAAGAAGCCAGTGGTCTGCATACAAATAAGCCAGACCTGTAAAATGGATGTGCCAAAACTCAAGTCCTGGAACAGACCAAAGTCCAGTCACTTTCCACCGGAGTTTCTTCTTCTTTGGCATTCCGAGCCCTTGAGGTTCATTGCTGCAGATATCACCCGCCTCATTCATTTCTCTGGTTGGCCTTCTCTTTCCAGTTGATGACACCAAGTTTTTGCAGGTCTTTCTGGATATTATCTCTCAATTTTCTTCTTGGTCTGCCTGGTGATCTGCAACCATTCATCTCCCTTGTGTAAACAGTTTTTACTTCTCTGTCATCTGACATTCTTTTTAATGTGCCCCAAACATTTCAGTCAGTACTGGAGTTTACAACTGTTGATTATAAGAAGAAGAGAAGATTCCCCGGTTGAGCATTGGTTCTCAACCAGCACATCAAGTTATTCTGTTTGTATGTTTTTGTTGTTGTTTTTTTTCTTTGGTTATTGTATATAGATCTCTCAGTGCCCTCCCAGTGTTTTCATTTCACTCTTTAATTCCCATTTCCATATGTTTTGGTCTCTACCTTCATTCATTTGACTGTGCAAGTTCCAATGCAAAGGCATTCTTGTTAAATTGTTTGCAGGTTTTCTAAATTTGTTTTGCTGTTATCACCTTTTTCCCCTCAGCGTGTCTTTTTCGAATGACAGCAACTTTTCCTACCCTTTAGATTCACTAGAATTTGCTAGATCAAGTTACAATAGATTTTTCTAAAAAAAGCTGCTTTGCAAAATGTGTAACTTCAGATACTCCTTCAGTTTGTATTTTGCAGGGATGACCTCTTTGTCTGTTTTTGTCATGTAAAAGTCCTAAAGCTGTATGTAGGGCGGACTCATGTTATAATCATTTTACTTGACCAAACCATTTGATTTGTGAATTTAGAATTTAGTTCAGCACTAGTGCCATCCTTACTTACTTTGGGATATCATCATTTTTGATTTTCTAATTTCCCCTGACGTTTGCTGATATTTTAACATTCTGTTAGAACTCTGCAATCAGAGAAAAGGCAAGACAAACATACCCAAACTGTTACTGGTACCCTCAGCATTTGAACTATTTGCTGAATATGAGGATGGAGAAATTATGGGAATGTTTCAAGTGCTGTGATGTTGGTTTTCAACTCATATGGCGACCATATGCCCCTTTTTTTTCCCGGTATATCTTAGCTGTCCCATCGGTACTCTAAAAAAATGTTGGTTATCTCGTTGTTTTTAAAATTTAGCAGTAATCTCAAGAATAGAACATATGGTTATAGTTATAACTGTAAACTTCATTAGATTACAGAGTCTTGGATAGTTTTAATATCTTAAATGTATGGTGAGCATATGCATACATTCCATACATTAGAAAGTGAACAAGCAAATTAAGAGATGTGGTTCTTGAGAAGAATGTTGCAAATATCTTAGACTGCCAGAATAGCTAACAGTAAAAAAGGTCAAGTCGGGAGATGTGAAACAGCGTCATTGTTCCAGGTTCTGGAACAAGACTCAAGTCCAGAGGTTAACAAACAACCAGAACTTTCCGCCGCAGTTTACAAACCGGTAAATGCAAAGGATAAGAAGAAGAAGATTAGTTCCTAAATTAATAATAATTCTAACAATAATAATATCAAAATCTTTAAAAAAAAATTTTAAGTGTGTGGTAATTTACTTGTTCGGGGTATCTCATTTTTGGCCCAAAATATTTGTGGGATGTCCCATTTTCAGCTCAGAATATTAGTAGGATATTCCGTTTTTAACTCAAGACATTAATGGTCACCCTATTAACTCAGCATAACACAGTTTATTAGAAGTGCCTGTACCTCTCTGTGTTTATGCCTGTCTGGCTCCTTCTGCCTCTGTGTGTCAAGTTAAGGTTAGTTGCGTATCCTTTACAGGACATTGCAGAACCAACCCCATCAGCCTGTGGCTGTTATGTGGTTTCTCTAGGCAAATTTACGTCCAGTAGTTTGCCATTGCTTTCTGGACGGTCGGCCCCCTGATACCACTGTTGAAACCAATGCAAGATGTATGGCCCGCAGCTGGGATCGAACCCGGTACCCCGGCATCACGAAGCGTTCGCATCGACTTAGCCACAGAGCCGACGCCTCTGTATGTACATGAGTGATTTTCTCTTTCCTGATAGCGTATAACATTTTCTGTTCACCAGAAAATTGACCATCTGTATGAAACTGACCCGGAGCTGAAGAAAATTCATGCAAGGATGACATCAGAAACAGATTCCTTGTCTTCAGAGGTGACAATCGTCACTGCATACTTCAACCTCGGCAATCTCAACAAGGGCAAAAGACTAGGAATGGGTGGCTATACCCCGGAGAGATACAAAAAATGGATGGGTGTTTTTGGCAGAATTGACAACCCATTAGTTGTTTTCACAGATTCTGCTGAAATCGCTCAAGTTTTTAAGGAATTACGTTCACAGTTTGCCGCCGAGCGCTCAACCATAGTTCTTTTAAACAGGACTAGTTTATGGGCTTTTTCACTAGCACCACAGATTAAAGATATCTTTTCTCAGCCGGGCTATCCAAAATTCGACCCAAACACAATCAACGAGAACTATTCATGTGCAATGCATGCTAAGTTTGAGTTAGTGAGTAAAGTGATCAGAGAAGAAATGTTTCACACAAAGTACATCAGCTGGTTGGATATAGGCCTGTACAGAGCAGTTGTGGATGAAAAGCACATTTTTCCTATTGGAGTTCCTCCTGGCTTTGACGAGAATAAAGTTGCTTATAGTGGTCAGCATAAGTTCGATCCCACATTATCACCGTACCAGATCATCATAGAAGACAGGACCTGGGTCGGTGGCGCCATGTTTTTGGCTCGTCCGGAAGTAATGTATGTGTATACACAAGATTACATGCGAGTAGTGGAGAAGTTATTAGCAGAACACATGATGAGCACAGACCAGCAAGTGATATACATCATGTTCCAGCCGAATTTTCCCTATCAGCCTCGGGTTGAAATACAGACGTATACAACTCATTCAACAGATGACTGGTTTTATTTAGGATATACTATAAAAGAATCATGGGATTTTGGTCTGAGACGGTCTGTGTCTATACTTAGATTTTTACATTCTTTGTTGTGATGCATGTTAAAATATTTTGTGATTGATGCACTCATGACAATCCAAATCTATTGCTTTAATGTCCACCTGTTGTCACCTATCACATTCCATGTTATTGGCTGTTTATCATAGGGCAGGTTAAAAACTAGTCCAGAAATTTTGCATTTTTTGGGTGACAGGATTATTGTGAATAGAAAGAGTAAGCACTAACGGCTGCCAGCTATATGATGTTGTCTAGATTTATTGAGCTAAACAAGATAAATTAAAATATTTGTTAGCAGAAACAGTTGGAAGTAAGTGAATGCAGTATGATGTGATATTTGTTAAATTAATTGAACATTTGTAACCTTTAGCTAAATACATTCAGTTTTGTAAAAATGTGGCTGTGTGCATTCAGTTTCTTCAAGCAGGTAGACACATGCATTCAGTTTTTTTCAATCTGGTTTCTGCGTACATTCAGTTTCTTTAATCCAGTAACTGCGTACCTTCGGTTTTGTCAAGCCTGTAGCTGTGTACATTCTTTTTTGTCAAGCCTGTAGCTGTGTACATTCTGTTTTGTCAAGCCTGTGGCTGTGTACGTTCAGTTTTATCAAGCCTGTAGCTGTGTACATTCTGTTTTGTCAAGCCAGTAGCTGGGTACATTCAGTTTTTCCAAATGTGGTTGCATGCATTCATGGTTTCATTCATTTTCATCAGACATATCTTTCTTGTCAGCCTTCTCAAGCCTCTAGCTGGTGCCAATGTATCCACCTGTGATGTGTTTTGTGTACCACCTGTTCTAGCTGCTGTCAGCTTTTCTGACATAAGGACTTTGTCATTTACTCAGATACTATCAGCATTGCTGTAAGAATCGTTGAATTGCAAAAATCACTCACCACTGAAAAGTTAACTCCACTTGATGTTCTGTTAACTTTACCTGTTGTCTCTTCTGCATGTTTGATGGGTTAACTTTGCCTGTTGTCTCTGCTGTATGTTTGATGGGTTAACTTTGCCTGTTGTCTCTGCTGCATGTTTGATGGGTTAACTTTACCTGTTGTCTCTTCTGCATGTTTGATGGGTTAACTTTGCCTGTTGTCTCTGCTGCATGTTTGATGGGTTAACTTTACCTGTTGTCTCTGCTGCATGTTTGATGGGTTAACTTTACCTGTTGTCTCTGCTGCATGTTTGATGGGTTAACTTTATACCTGTTGTCTCTGCTGCATGTTTGCTGGGTTAACTTTATACCTGTTGTCTCTGCTGAATGTTTGATGGGTTAACTTTACCCGCTGTCTCTGCTGCATGTTTGATGGGTTAACTTTACCTGTTGTCTCTGCTGCATGTTTGATGGGTTAACTTTACCTGTTGTCTCTGCTGCATGTTTGATGGGTTAACTTTACCTGTTGTCTCTGCTGCATGTTTGATGGGTTAACTTTAGCTGTTGTCTCTGCTGCATGTTTGATGGGTTAACTTTACCCGCTGTCTCTGCTGCATGTTTGATGGGTTAACTTTACCCGCTGTCTCTGCTGCCTGTTTGATGGGTTAACTTTAGCTGTTGTCTCTGCTGCATGTTTGATGGGTTAACTTTACCTGTTGTCTCTGCTGCATGTTTGATGGGTTAACTTTACCCGCTGTCTCTGCTGCCTGTTTGATGGGTTTACTATACCTGTTGTCTCTGCTGCATGTTTGATAAGTTAACTTTGCCTGTTGTCTCTGCTGCATGTTTGATGGGTTAACTTTACCTGTTGTTTCTTCTGCATGTTTGATGGGTTAACTTTACCTGTTGTCTCTGCTGCATGTTTGCAGAAAGACTTGCTTGTCCATGTCCTGTCTCAGCACTGATCTTAGAATCGCTAGACTGCACAAGTCACTCATGGCTGCAGTGTAAACCTCAATTCGCTTGAGGTTCTGTTGTTAGGAGGGGTAAAAAATTATTCCTAAATTTTTTTTTTAAATCTATGTAAATACTGCATTGGTGTGCCATTTGTAAATGTGGCAGAATTCCTCAAACATTCTTCTGCACAGTATAACATTAACCAACCTTGGTTTAATAACAGGTGGAACCACTGTAATTGTTTTTAAATGGCTTCTAAAGATGTTTGGTTAAAGCAACATAATGTTTTAGAATTTCTTAATGCTGAAGGCGACACCTAAATTCACATCCACGAACATTTAAAGAAGGAATGTTTGTGGAGATTCAATAATAAATATTAAAACAGTCCAACGTTGGGGACGTCATTGTCGCAAAGCTGAAGTAGGTCGTCCCTCAGTGACTGGCACAAAGTGTACTAGCCGTTTGTCAACATTCTGAGTATCCATTGTGCACAGACTTTTGAATAATCCAGGACTTAAATGATGGTTAGGACACTGCCTTTACTGATGGACAGCATGGAGGTTCATCCAGTGTTAGCCGGTGGTCAGCCAGCACGAATGATGTCATCAACTTGATGAATGTTGTGTTTGGACTCACTGTGGTAGACGGACGTCCAGTCAGCTTTGTGTTATCCATTGAGGATTGACCTACTTCGGCTTCATCACAGCGATGTTCCCAGCGTCGGACAGTGCAAACATCCACTGTTGATCTGTTAGCATTCTTCAAATGTTCGTGGATGCGAATTGGGGTCTCACCTTGAGCATTGAAGAATTTTATGACATGTTTCTTTTATCAAATCTTTTTTTTTTTTTTGGAAGCCATTTTTAAACTGCTACAGTGGTGCCACCTGTTATTGAACCAGGTGAGTAACGCTATACCGTGCAGAAGAGTGTTTGAGGAACCCTGCTAAACTTACAAGTTGCACACCCATGCAGTATTGACATAGATAGAATATAGTAGGCGTTACTTTTTGACTGCCTTGTAACTTTACCTGTTGTCTCTCTGGGAGTCACCATGGCATAGCGGCTAGACACTCACCTGCCGATCAGAAGGTCGTGGGTTCGCTACCTGGCAGAGCCAGACTTTTTTCAAAAATAACCTTGGCTCCCAGTTCGACCCAGCCTTGAGTGGGTACCAGTTGCAGTCCTGGCAAGTAAATGCGGCCGGCGTGATGCTGACCTCATCTGCTTGTGCTGTTGGTCTATAAAATATAGGTCTAGCCCTATATACCCAATACACTTGAAAGGCATGAAAAAGGGTCCTTTACTTTCTTACCTATTGTCTGTGTCACATTTTTGGTGGAAAACTTGCTTCTTCGTTTGTGATCTGTTCAATTCTCATGTTTAGTATTGACTTCAACAGACACATTGTTACTTCTGTCACTTCTGACCCCTTATACATCTTATTTGCTTGTGATTGTTTAATTTTCAGATTCAGTGTTGACTTTAAAAGTCACAGTATGTTTGTCATTTATGCACTCTCATAAATCTCATTTGCAGAGGATCACTTTCATTACACATAGACATCTCTAGAAGTCCATCAGTTGATCACATAACGAGCATTTCAGCTCAGTGCTCAAACTTCTCAGCATCGACAGTGTGTGTACACAAACGGCACACAGTTTGATGTGTGTGGGTGGCTTTTCTAATTTAGAAATTGTTCCTTAAGGGGATGCTTTTAAAGAGCAGTGGTTCCCTAGGAGTTTAGACCTGCAGACCCTCTCTTATTTTCAACAACACACACAAAAATATAAAACCGAACGAAATGTATATTAGCAAGCTTTACAATATAACAAATACAAACAAAAGGTGAACTATGGATCCTTCATCAAAACATACAAACCAAACAGTACCACACAAATACACAAAATCACTTAGCTGGTATCTCGAAGCCGCTGGCTCGATGATTACTCGGCAGACTGCCGACACGTGTGGGCTACCTCCTTGTATTTTCAAAGGTCTGACATTGACCCAATTTTTTTCCTAGTCATAAAAAGGAAAGTAAAGGACCCTTCCCATACCTTCAGGATTATTGGGCATATAGGGCTAAGCCTATATTTTATAGACCAATAGGCACTTGTTGGGTGATATGGTCAGCGTCGCGCTGACCGCCTTTACTTACCAGGACTCTAGCTGGGACCCATTAAAATCTGGGTGACCCTGGAAGCAGAGGCCATGTTTTGAAAAAAAAAACCGTTACCGCCAGGACCCGAACCCGCAGCCTTCCATTCCATAGGTGAGTGTCTAGCCCCTACACCACGGAGACTCCTATAGTAGTCATGCTGAATTTTAAAAATATATAAATATTAGAATCACAAAAAGGATTGCATTCTAAAGTTGAAGCTTCTTCTGTTTGGAATTTCTTCTCTGTGTCACCCTCTGTAAACTCTGGCGGAAAGTTCTTGTTGTTCATTTCCCTGTGGATTTTTGTCTCGTTCCATAACTTGAGTGTTGTGTGCACCTCTGTTTTACAGATCTGATTTTTTTTATGCAGACTGTTAGTTCCTTGTCCCCTGAGGCAGATGCTCCCACTTAGTCAACTCTGTGACATGAATTTTCGACAAAGACTGCCTGGCCGAAACTTTACATTATTTGTATTGTTTTGTGCACGTTTTTCTGCTCCCCCCATTTGGTGAAGCTTTTTAGTCAAATTTCCCTGGAATTTCTTGTTGGGGAGGCAACGGGTCTAATCTTGTTCTCCTTACAGTTGGGCCCCGGAACCCACACAGGGGACAGTATTCTTACATTTGTTCTAAGGACAACAAAATGGGAAAGACTGCTATAGACATATGGCGACTCTCATAGATCATTATTCACATACATCTTCAATATGTTTATGTTCCAGTTGGTTGGCATTATTGGTTTTTCTTAGACCAGATATAGTGATTTTAACATTAATTGTCAAGATTTAACATTAATAGACTGCTTCCACTCCTTTTGGTATCTGTTATAAGTAACCTTTCCCCACTTCCAGTATCTGTTATAATTAACCTTCCCCTCTTTCCAGTATCTGTTATAAGTAACCTTCCCTTCCTTTTAGTATCTAAGTAACTTTCCCCTCCTTTCAATATCTAAGTAACCTTCCCTTCCTCTCAGTATCTAAGTAACTTTATCCTCCTTTCAGTATCTAAGTAACCTTACCCTCTTTTCAGTATCTAAGTAACCTCCCCCTC